CACAGGGACGTGGGGCTCATTTGGTATGTCCAGCTGTCTGTGAGTCGGGAAGGTTTTCATGGGGCTGGGGCAGCCAGGGGTTCAGCGCGGGACTGACGCGTGTTGGTCTCCTCATCTGTAAAGCAGAGGTAACAGGAATATCTACTCTATGTTGTGGGGATTGTGAGGGTTTGTGGGTTTTTCTTAATATTTATTTATTTATGTATTTTCTTTTTGAGTTTTAGGTGGACACATTATTTTGTTTTTATGTGGTGCTGAGGATCGAACCCAGGGCCTCATGCCACAATCCCGGCCCCTGTGAGGGCTTTTTAATGCAGCAGATTTTACATAAATACTATTGTCTCTCAGTATCTGCAGGTAACGATGACGGTGGATTCGCCAGTCCCTCAGATAAAGTGGCCTGAGGTCACAGTGGCTTCCTCTGGCAGCTGTCCTTTGGGGGAGTTGCTCCCCACCCCTTTTGCCCAGCATTTGAAATTCTAAAGGACAGTTGCCCCTAAGTGGTGAGCGTGCTGGTTGCTAAATGGCCACCTTCCAGTAACGAGGGGTAAAGCCGCCCCAGTCTCCAGTCCTGCGCAGCCGCGTGTGAACCACCATGAGGTCTAAGGTGCAGAAAAGTCATGTTTGTCTAAAGAGTTATAGGAACTAACCAGGTGCAGGGGCCCCAGGGACTTGGGAGGCTGAGGCAGGAGGATGGCAAGTTCAAAGCCAGCCTCAGCAACTTAGCGAGGCTCTAAGCAACTTAGCAAGACCCTGTCTCAAAATAAAAAAAAATAAAAAGGGCTGGGGATGTGGCTCAGTCCTTGAGCACCCCTAGGTTCAAACCCTGGTACCAAAAAGAAAAAGGGTACAGGGCCTATCCAGGAAGCCAACATCAAGGTCAATTGCAATGTTACGGCCGGAAAAAAGAAAAGCCCTCCCTGGACGACGGCACCCTGCCTGGCATGCTCTCTCCCTGTCCCTTGTCCCCTGCGCTTCCTTCCTTCCCTGTGTGATCGCCGTTGTATACCAAGTTCCCTGAGATGGTCTTTTTGGGGGTAACACCTCCCTGTCTCCTTCTCAGGGTGCTGACCCTTGAGTAAACCTGATTTCCCCTCCAATTCTCACCTCCCAGGTGTTGGCTTGTGAGCGGCGAGCAGATGGACTCGGTGCCCATCTGCAGTTGATGGCATCCATGGAGCGGGAGGGCGGAGGACTGACCGTAGGTGGGAAATGCTAGGACGCTGCCAGATCCAGGCTCTGGAAGTGTCTGCGCGATGCCCTGAGGCTGCACACGAACCGTGGTGGGACCTCAGGACGGTGATGCTCAAGGCAGCCGCAACCATCAGCTGTGGCCGCTGCCGATTTGACCCCGTGTCCTGACCATAGGTGGCAGAGAGGGAGCCCAGGTCCTGCGGGGTCCTTCCCAGGGTCTCGGAGACTGTGCTGCTGGAGCTCACTGTTCCTGAGACGGAGCTCCTGGCGTCGCAGTGAGTGGGGACCTCACTGGACCCGGGCTCCTGTCAGCAGAGGAGGCCCATCCGAGTCCTCCCACAGGCTGCCCGGGGAGACAGCCAGCCCCCTCTCCAGCACGGCCCCCTCCTCTGGCTATAGCCACAGCCTGGGTCATGGCACTGAGTCGGGAGAGGCCAGGCGCCAGCCCCAGGCTAAGGGGACCCATTGCCACATCTAGCCTTTGCCTCTGGAACCGCAGGCCCTGCTGGGGGTCTCTGCAAGGAGATGGCGGCTCCAGCTTTGCCCGCGGAACCTCCTCTAGATCAGCAGAGGTGCCTCCAGCCCCGGGGAGGGGCTTGCTCTGCAAACACAGGCCCCCAGGCCTCCCCCAAGGCCCGGGGAGCTCTGGGCTGGACAGGATCTACAGGGCAGCACCCCGCCCCCACGCAGAGCCTGCAGAGTGGTGTTTGGGAACTTGGGTCTCACGGGGCCACAGAAATCAGGAAGTCTTTTTACGCCTAAGGGGGGCGATGCTTGGCACCCCCAAGCCCCATGGGGACTCCCTGGGGACACCAGGCCCTCTCAGTTTGTCCCCAGGAGCAAGCCCAGGCCTGAGTCTCCTTTCCCAGAAGCCCACGCTGCGCCCTGTCCAGCATGGCCGTCCAGGCCGTGTGGGGCTCCTTTCTGGGGGGCCCAGGCCCCGGAGCCTGCCTGCTGGGGAGGTCTGTGCCCTCGGCGGAGCAGGACAGTTCCTGAGTGCCACAGGATGAGGCAGGGACCTGAGGGCCTGCCACAGGCCAGGGCCGGCTCTGGGGCACAGCGGCCGGGGACCGCTTCCTCAGGCAGCCAGTCCTCTCCGTCCACCCAGCGGGCACCAGTCCAGGTGCCCTCGGGCTCACTGCAGGCCCCACCTGCTCGGCCCGGGTGGCACTGGGTGGGGGTGGGCCCCTGCAGATGGCGGCGCCTCACTCCTTTGCTGGCTGTCGAACACCTGCTGAGGGTGCTGGGGGCCCACTGGGGGCGCAGAAAGAAATAGAAGACGGGGGAGTGGAGGAGCCCACACACGGGCTGAGAACCATCACTAAGCAGCACGCCAGGCAGAGCGAGACACATCCAAATCTGTCTGCAGAGGCTTTCTCAGCAGGCCAGGCGGGTGTCTCCGAGGAGCAGGGTGTGCAGCAGGTGGGGGGCCTGGGAAACGGGCAGGGGCAAGGGGATGGGTGTTCCACTCTCCAGGATACCATGGATGTGCTGTGTGGCCTTGGGTAAATCACTTAGCCTCTCTGAGCCTCAGCCTTTTTCTTCTTTTGTTCTCCCTCTTATAGGCAACCTGGCAAACGGCTGGCTTCGACCAAACGTTACTGATACTAAGCAGGGGATGACTTTCTGGTCACCTGAGTAGACTGTTAGCTAGAGGCTGACATCCCCAACGGTCAGCAAAAAGCTGGGATTTGAATTTCTGTGGTTTGGAGGTGACAGTCCTCCGTGGAGAGCCAACTCTGTCACTTCCGGGTCAGCGTCCCCATCTCTAGAATGGGCAGACCTCAGAGCATCCTGAGAGACAGAGTCAGTGGGTAGTCCTGGCTGGGGAGGGGGCTGCGGGGGGCTCTCGGGGACGCGGTGGGGTGCAGCTCCCAGACCAAGTGCCGATTTCTTCCTCTGCTTCTGTTCGTTGTTTGCAATATTTGCTTTTAGGGGATTGTAAAGACTACGGAGGTGGAGACAGTTCCACGTTTTTCAAAGACTGATTCTGAGGTCTGGGAATGCAGGACCAAGGGAGGCCAGGGCCCTGGGGCAGCCTGGAAGGCAGGCCGTCTGTCCTGACTGTCAGCAGCCTCTTTCCCCACGGACTCCTCTCTTGGAGGTTTATCTCTGACCCTTTTCTCTTCAGCTTTCTCCATCTCTGCCAAGTTTGCTCCTTGGGTACAACTGGAACGCCCCTCCCTCCCATTTTACCCTGTGGCTACCTGGCTAGGCCCTGGGCTCAGCCTGAGGCCTCCCCTCATTGGACAGCATAGAGTTGAGGAGTTACACGAACAGCATTTACAATTAGAAACCTGGGTGCCAACCTCATCACTGGCTGTGTGATCTTGGGAAAATTACTTAGCCTCTCTGTGCTTCAGCTTCCTCTTCCAGAGCTCTCATGACGAAAGGATCAAGCACATGTAAAACACTTAGCACATACTAAGCGCTCAGTGAACGTGTTGCTGCTGCTGCTGCTACTCGTGTTGAAGCCCCGCTGACTACCAGCCGCCTCCTGTCCCCAGGGTAGCAGAGCTGCCCGCCTGCATGGGCCGTCTTGCTGGAAACCGGGGGAGTAAATAACAAGAGGAGCCATGTGAGTGCGTGGTCAGGAGAGAAGTCTCTGCGGAGAGGGAGAGCCTCTCTGGATGTCGTCAGCTGTGAAGGGCCCACAGTTTGTCAAGGACTCGGCCACCAGCCAGCACTGAAGGCGCAGGCTGCAGGAGTCCGCTGGGATGAGCGTTGAGGGGCGCTGCTCGGGGGCAGGCTCCCCGAGGCCGGTGGCAGGCTCCACCACAGAGCGTGGCAGTGGGCTGGACTCTGGCCAGCGGAGAGGAGGGGCGGTCAGCACCTGCTCCAAGCTCCGGGAGGCCCAGAGTCTCCCTGCTTCCCCCTGCACCCCGGGGAAGCGATCCGAGCTGACCTGCAGCCCAGCAGGTAGAATTCCATCGGATGGCGCCCAGTACAAGACTCACCCTCCTCACTTCCTCAGAGTTCAAAGGGCAAAAGCCTGAGTTCATGGTCAAGTTGAAACAGGCAAGCGCAAGCCCAGGTGGGCCTCCAGCCGGCGGGAGGGAGCAGGTGACTCCAGCAGGGATCCATCACCAGGGTCCGGAGGCAGAGCTGGGGAGACGCGCCCGCACCTCCCCCCATGAAATGGAACCTGGAAACGGGATCCAAGGGGGCTCTGGGGACACCAGGTGACCCAACCAGCCGCCCGGGAGAAAGTCCTCATCCCTGCGCCCCCAAATGGAGCTTGTCCCTCTCCCGGGGAGCTGGGCAGCCCCAGTTAACAGGCGCCTGGGGTCCCTTGGCCGGTGTGGATCTTTTCCTCCAGAAGGATCTGGGCTTGGGTTTGGGTGGACTTGGGGGAATTTAAGTCTACTACCCTATTTTCTGTTGTGTGCTCACTTGTAATGCTAAGGTGAGTTAGCCTACTAGAGCGAGAATCTCATCATTCTGACTTGAAAAGCAATGGGGTAATTAACTTAGATGTGTGAGCTCAAGTTGAAATCTTACGAAGCTTATGCTGGGTAATAGGATATTTAAGAGAATTCCGGGCTCACGGTATTTGTACATTTCATCTAATAGATATATGAAAGCTAATGAGGTATCCAGGGAGATTTTGTTAAAACAGGCAAATGAGTTTAACGGAAAATCAAATAAATAACTTGAAAAAAAATTGTACTGAGGTGTACCTCACACTCCGAAGAGTTCCGAGTACCCATGGAACCTGATCAAGAAAGCGAACAGTACCGGGACCCGGGTAACCCCTCCAGGGACCCCCTGCAGACAGTGAAAACATTAAATTTATAAATTCAGTATAAATTGTCTGAGCTGTGTGTAATTCATTATGTTGTAACCAGAACCGAATACCCTTCAAAGAGCTCTTGGACATGCTTGCTAAATCGGCTCCATATAAACAGAAAAAGGTTTGTAATGGAACTTGAAACCTTAAGAGAGAACTAGGTTGCGATTTCAATACCTTCAACTCCGGTTGTTTAAGCTCAAAGTCAATTTCTGAGTAATCTTTTTGGGCACAACAACTACTGCTAAAGAGTCTCCAAAACTCAAACGAGCATGCAAAGTCCGGTTCAGTGTCACGCTCCAAAGTCCTGAAGGTTCTTTCTTTAAATGACACGGTGCCTGAGCTTCTGCTCCAGCGGAGGCCCCAGTCCCAGCTCCAAGGCCACTTTCAAGTCCTGGGCTTTGTGGAGCTTGCTCTTTTCTTTAAATGGCGTGAAATTGCCTGTGACTCACTTGAGAAGACTTCAGAGAGACAGTGTGACATATCTTGTGAATTACTTTTAATCTACACTGTCGGATGGTAGGAGATTGCGGGAGATTGAAGAACACAGACCCCAGGATGCGTGATCAGCATTTGAGAGACTGACCAGAAGCCCACAATGCACAGGGGCAACTCTGAGGTTTTGAGGTCTCCTCTCCAATCAGCACCCAAGAGGGCTTGTTCATTTGCATAATAGGTGTAGGGTGCAGTTTCATTGGTGAATCGAGTGGTACAGACAACGTGCAGATTGGCTGGAAATACAATATAGGAGCTGTCACTCCTGCCTGAATGGGGTGGAGTCAGTGGTCCAAGAGCCCGAAGATGTGTTAGGAGCGTCTGGCTGTCCCTGTGCACGGCCTCCTCCTGGAGAACGTGGTTGCCTGGCTCTCTCCAGAGCTCAGCTGAACTTCACACTAGAGTGGCCTTGGCCTTGGGTACATCCTCCATGCAAGGAACATATAAAAGATTGAGATACACTTTGGGACGGTATAGAGTTAGTGTGTGTGTGTGTGTGTGTGTGTGTCCACATTGTTGTGAGACCCGCTCTCATTGTCACCCGCCCGTGGTAGCCAGGTAATGGCCAAGGGAACGGAATCCTCCCTTCCTGCACCCAGGAGAAGCCATTGGCATGGACTGACGTGACTCTGCTGCTTCTGACCGACTCCGTTGCTGTAGGCCTGATAATAACCAGAGAAGCCTGATGGTGAGAGGGGCCGCCTGCCACGGAGCCCAGCAAGAAGGAAGGCACCTTGGGGTGGGGACATTCCTGGGATGCCCTCCCCCACTGGCTCTCATCGGCTCCAGTTCTGGGCATGTCCTGGACCTTGGGACTCAACTCCCTCAGAGCCTGTGACACCCTGCAGGGGCTCTTGGCCTGGCCCTGGCAGGTCCCCCCAGGTCCCCCCACCTGTGCCACCTGCGCTGGGAGACTGGGCGGGGCACTTCAGGTGTGGCCTCGGGCCTTCTCTCTCTGCATGATGTCCACTGGTTGTTGATGTCCACTGGTTGTTGGTCAGCCGTTTTGAAGGCGTCCCCCGGGCCTCGCACAGCTGAGTGGCCGAGCACCTGTGGGCTTGTAGGATCCCTGCGGAGCTCATTTGAAAAATGAGCTTTTCAGAAACAGCTCATTTGAGAACTCTGCCCCGAGACCATCTTTTCATCCTTCCCTCCTCCCGTCCCCCCTCTTCCTGTCTCTTTCATCCTGAGGGTGAAGAGCCGTCTAGGCCGAGTGCAAGCCGAGGCCGGCTCTGGTCTCCTGGACCTGTGCTGGGCTTTGCTGGGCCTCATGGCCATCTGCAATTTGGCTGGTGCTGCCCCGTGGTCAGGATCGCTGACCACCACGTCCACGCTTCCCCGTATCCGGTTGGGGACTGGGCCATTTCCACAGACCCGGAGGAGGCTCCAACTCTTCACCTGACTGTTTCCTCCCGGTGCATCCTTTCCCCTCGAGGATGTCGCACATCCCAGACTCTGAAACAAAATCTGACTTTGGAGTGAGAGGGGCCTGGACTTGAATTGGGTTCCTTAAACTTATTAGCTGTGTGACTTGGGGAACAGCACTTAGCTTCTCTGAACCTCTGTTTCCTCATCTGCAGTGTGGAGATTTGTAGTTACCTGGAGTAATGAAGTGCTCAAGGACAGGCGGTCTGTCCTCCCCTCCCCTGCCTGGCTGTGGAAAGGAGGGAGGCCCCCGGGCTGCGAGGTGAGGCGGAGCCCTGGCTGGGTCTGCGCTGGGGCCCCGGGTGGACATGGCTGGGGCTGTGTTCCCCGCCTTGGGTCTCTGCCAGCTGTGCGGCTGCTTGTTTCTCCAGCTGCACAGGCCCTGGCCCCAGGCCGGAGGAGGCCTCCCAGCCTCTAGCCCCACGGTGGGGAGCAGCTGGCCCCTGGAGCCCTGAGGTGGGGGTGAGAATAGCAATCAGGGCCCTGCCAGGGGCTGTCATTAGTTGTTCTGCTCATAATTGGGCTGCAGGCGCCCTCTGGCCCGAGTCGGTTCTGCTCGGTGATTATCTGTGATTAGCCTCTCGTGCCTCAGACTGCTGACTCCACAGCCGTCCTCCGCCCCAGGCCCCCAGGCGCTCAGACAAGAGCCTCCTGCGGAGGCCCAGCACCCAGCTCTGCCCTGTCCAGGCAGCCGCAGGCCGACAGGAAACAGACCCACCCCCGGCCTGGTCCTCCCGCGGGGACCCAGGCCCCCAGCACGCACCACAGCCCGGCTGTCCTCCGGGCCTTCTGGGCTTTGCTCACCTGTGCAGCAGGAACCTGTCTTGGCCAGGTCAATAGGCCAGTGCTCCAGCTGGCCACCCCAGCCTCCTCCCTAAGCGCCAGGGTCCTGTGTCCCCAAGGCTGTGAGGGACGCAGAAGTGGACCAGGCTGAGGAGGCCAGGAGGGAGCAGCAGTGAGTCAGAGGGGGGCAGGGTGGCCGCCCGGAGCTGGAGGAGGCTGGCCTGGCCGGCAGGAGTCCAGAGGCCCTTGGAGCACACGGCCCTGCTCAGACAGCCACGGCCCTGCTCAGACAGCCACGGTCCAGCGCATCACCCTCCGCGCCATTCAGTGACTTAACAAGGTGGTGATTCAACAGGGTTCCCTGAACCAGGCTGTGAGAGCACAAGAGGGGACAATTCTACCTGAGGGAGTCCAAGAAAGAGGCGCTCTGCTTCCACGCAAGGATCCAAAGCTCCGCCGCCCGCGCCCCCTGCCGCTCCAGGCTCCGGTGGCCTCCTTCAGTCCTGTGTTCTGCCTCAGGGCCTTTGCTCATGCCAACCGATGCCTGGAAAGTTCTTCCCTCACCTCTGCCCCGTTCACTCCCAACCATCAGCTGAAATGTCGCCTCCTGGGGACCACTGTCCCAGCACCTGCAGACCAGGTCTGCCAACTCCACCTCCCCAGCTCCCTGGCGCCTGTGGTCCACAGCAGGTTCCGATCCCACGCCGCACTGTGACGGCCTCGGCAGGCCTCCCCACTACACTGCAAGCCCCAGAGGTAGGTTCTGGGCCAGTTTTCAACACCACTGAAGCCAGAGAACTAGCATTAATTGGATACTTACTGTATACTATTGCAGCTGAAATCACGGTAGAGAATCCAACTCCTTTAATGCAAAAAACGACCCCATGAGGGGTCTTACAGGTGTGGACTTGGCCACAGAAAACAGTGCCTGCCCAAGGCCTCAGGGTAGCAAGGAGCTGAACAGGGATCTCCAGCGCCCAGGTCCCTAACCAGCAGGCAACACTGCCCCGCTCCTAAACATGCCCCATGCGCTTGTTCCTTCTTGGCTCCGTCTGTTCACACAGTGCCTTTAAGGACCGCTGGGTCTGAGAGCCCTGCTGGGCCCTGGGCCGAGCCAGGAGAAGCCCCGCGTCTCGGGGTGCGACTGCAGAGCCCAGACAAGGACAGGCCGACACAGAATCCTAGACGGGGAAGTGCCGGGGCCAGAGCAAGGCCGGAGACCCCGCGTCCCGTGTGGGTCCGCTGAACTTGGACTTCAGGGCTTCGGCAGGAAGGATGAGATGCCGCAGGACTGAACCCAGGGCGTGGAACCCGGGGCCAGGTCCCCAGCTCTGCCCGCACCCGGGTGGGGAGGGAGTGGGTGACGCTGGGGGTGTGGCCGCTGGAGATGACGACCCTAAGAAATCAACACAAAACCCAGGGCCTGACGGGTGGTCGAACGGGCCGACCCTAACCAGGAGAGACACACCAGAGGATTCAGAGAGGAGCTTCTTGAGGAAAACGGGACAGGAGCGGGGACACGGGTGTCTGGTGCCCGGCAGGTCACGCCCGTCTCCGGCTGCTGAGCTGAGGCAGGGCCTCGGGCTCTGGGCTTTCTGGAACCAGGGATTTCACCCGGGGCTTCCCAGAGAAGCAGCTTTCCTGCCTGGATGGCTCAGACAAACCCCTAGGCAGCTCCAACACCCACCCCCTCACCGCCCCCCATTTGTTTGAGACAGGGTCTCACTGAGTTGCTCAAGGCCTTGCTGAGTGGCTGAGGTTGGCCTTCAACTTGTGGTCAGCCTCCCGAGCCACTGGGATTACAGGTGTGCACCACCACGCTGGGCCCCCAGGGTGGTTCTCGGTGTGTTCATTGGACAGACTGATGGCCACCTAAGTGGAGGAGAGCCGCTCTTCAGCTGGAACCTGCTGGGGTTTCACCTGGACATCTGACGCGAGACCCAAGACCTAGGATCGTGGCCTCTGCTGAGGAGCATGCCCCGGGCCAGGCCTGGGTGCCCCGGGGTGGGTGTGTCCAGGGGCCCCATGCATAAGACCCCCTCCCCGAGAGACGATCACAGATGTCCCAGGCGCCCACTGCTGTGTGACATCGGCCTCAGCTTGATGGACAGGCTCCACAGGGACCCCCAGTGACATCCCACCTCCTGGGCTCCAGGCCGTGACGAGGGCCTGCAGGGGCTTCTGACCAGGGAACAGGGCGGAGGGAGGACACGGCTCCCCTGGTGTTCCGTGAGATGAGGCTGTGTCTTAGCCCCCAGTGGGGAGAGGAGGCTCCCGCTGGCCTTGAAGAGTCCACAAGCTGCCCGTCCTGGGAATCGTACAGAGGGAGGCATGTGGTGGGTGACTGCAGGGCTCCCAGAGCGGCCTGACTGGCGGACAGCAGAGGAACAGTGATTCCAACCCCAGGGCTGCGGAGAAGCCGCTCCGTCCACCTGGACAAGCCGAGCGGCTCTGCCCCAGGTGAGCCTCTGCTGAGACCGCAGCCCACCCCTCTCGGACTACAGCCTGGCGAGGCCCCAGAGCTGACCCAGCCGAGCCATCTACGTCCAGGCTTACCACCTGCAGAAACCGAGAGAACAGAGGCGTGTCCAGGGTTCAACCTCAAGATCTGTAGTAACTCTCTGTGCAGCAGCAGAAAACTTAATTAACCTCTCTGTGTGAGCCCCACTTAGGGTGAGGCAGAGAGAGTCAGAGAAGCCCGCTTCCTTCTTTCCCCCTCATGACTCCCACCTCTCACAGAGGTGCAGCGGGATGGGCCAGGTACGTATCTAGAAATTATTCTAACACCCTGGAGACAAGGGCCTTGAGGACCGTGGTGACTAGATCATCAAAGAGGCTTTTGATTCCTCCCCAAAGCAAGTCTGATGAATTGGATGAACAGAGCTTTGGGGGAGGGTTTGCAAATGTCAGGTGCTTGCAGAATAGTGGAAAATGGGAGGTGCTTGGTCCCCCAGGACGGGTAATTAGGGAGGAGATCTGACGGGTAGCACCTTCCTGGGTCCTAACAATAGGCAGAGAGGGATGAAGCTGATCACAGTCGATGAGGAAGAGAGCAGAGCCCACACCTCAAAGACTCATTGTCACCCCAGGACAGCACAGGCTGCTTATTAACGTTTGATCCTGAGACCAAAAGTTCAGATGCCGTGCCTTTTGAAGGTGGCTTAGCATGGGGCAGCCACTCTTCTTGCTGGTAGGAAAGTGATCATACTGACTTCATTAGGCTGGCTCTCTCCATCTCACCCCAAAGCTCTGGGTGTGGTGATTCAGATCTTCAGTTTTGGGATAAATACAAGAGATCCAGGTTCAAATGTCATCTGTATCAGTATGACGGTATTGGTTAACACTTGTTGCATAACAAACAGCCCCAAAACTAATAATGCAACAAGGACTGATTTAGCTCACAAGTCTGAAGGTTGATTGAGCAGTTCAGATGTTCTGGACTCAGCGTGACTGATCTTCGCTGGACTTGATCATGAATCTGCAGTCAGTGCACCAGCTGGCTGCGGCTGGTCTCGGACAGCTTTATGGAGAAGAATTGGGCTGACTTGGCTCTGCTGTTCATGGTCTTTCCTGCAGCGATGATGTAGCTCAAGTTTACTCACATGGCCGCTGGCAGAAAGCAAAGGCTTAGAACAGGCACAGCTCCTTCTACTGCATCTGACTGATCTTATTAAATGTCCAAGTCAGCCCAGGTTCAGGGATGGGGAATCACTGCACCCCTCCATGGGAGGAACTTCAAAATCACATGCAGAGTGAGTGGGAACAGGAAGGCAACAAGTGGGGTCATGGGGCTTCTTCCCAAGGCACAGACTTCCTGCTGCAGCTACAATAAGGAGGTTCCAGCTCACAAGCACTTTTCAAGCCCTTGCTTGAGTCACATTCAGTAATGTCCATTGTCCAAAAAATGTGGCCCTGCCAATAGGGTACAGGAATTGAACCACCACTTGCATAACTGAGCTTATCCCCCAGCCTTTTTATATTTTGAGACTGGTTCTCACTAAGTTGCTGAGGCTGGCCTCAAACTTTCGATCCTTCTTCCTCAGCCTCCCGAGGAGCTGGGATTCCAGGTGTGCAGCACCACCCTGCCTGGATACACTTCCCTTCCTGATGGGAGGGAAAGAATTCCTGGCTATTTTTGCAATCCTCCATGCTATTCTTCCGAGGTCACCTGTGGAAATACTAACCATCCTTAAATCAATAAATCCCACAACTACGTGTTCCTCAGTGACAGCGGTAGGTTCTGCGAACTTGTCCTTAGGCGATTCAGTCACCCTGTGAACACCGCGGAGTGCTCCTCCGCAAACCCAGATGGCACCACCTGCAACTCAGAGGCTGGGCTCCTAGGACCACCACAGATAGACGACAGGAGGCTCAATCAAACACAAGAGAAAGCCGGGCAGGGGAGGGTCACGGGCCCGAGGTGGACGAGGCCGGCGCCGTTCCGCAGTGCACTGTTCTAAGGGACGCTTTTTGTTTTTTTTTAAGTAGATGAAATACATTTCAAAAAATAGCTATGAAAAGTATGGTAAGTGCATAACCAGCGGCCCAGCCATTCATTACCCAATACCCTGCGCTGCTGGTAATTGTATGTTTGGTGCTTCCCGCCGTCCGGCAGCGCGGTGGGTTGGTTTGCACCGCAAGCTCGTGAATAAGACATGGCGCTATGTGACAGTCATCCGGCAAGACGGCGATGGCGTCACCCGGCAAGAGGGATTTTTTGGCTTTTGTAACCCTGCGAGGCCTGTCTGTACATTCAGTTCTTTGTCGACCAGACGTCATGCAACCGCTCAGTGACCCGAGTCTGGGAGGACGGCGGTCAGCAGGTTGGTGGCCACCAGGGCCTGGCCTACGGTGGCTGTGTCTGCGCCCCTTGTTCCACCGTCCGTCCATCCTTCTCTGGCTCTGGGATGGGTGGCACGGGAACCACCCGTCTGAGGCCTGCAAACCTGAGGCCCCTGCCCTGGGTGCCGACTTTTAAAGCAGACTCTGCAATTGAATTCGAAATTCAGTAGGAGGAGCAGTGTCCACTTTCAAGTCGCCCTTTCAAAAAAGGTACAGAGACACAGTGGAGCAGACTTTAATAACATTCCATGTCGACTGTGTCCCAAGTGGACATTTAAACAAGCCACCACCATAATATTATTCCTGAGATGTAATATGTCCCAGTGGGAGTCTCTAAAGGCCGGGCGTTTCCTAGGCCCAGGCTCTACCCCACGTGGGCAGCTGCGGTTGGAGGCTCCGGGGCCTCCATATTGGATGGTGCCGTTTCGACGGATCCTTCCCCTTCTCCTCCAGCAGCTTCCCTGTGTGGAGTGAGGAGCCCCCGGGGACCAAAGCACGTGCCCACCTGGAGTCCCTTTTCTAAGCCAGATTCTAGAGACCTAGGACCCCAGGAGCCCCGTCGGGTGCCTGTGAGACTGGCCAGGGCCTGGCCACCAGTGTGTGTGGGGCTTTGCTTGCGTCTGTTTCCATCTGACGACACCCACCTCGGTGCCTAGGGATGACCCACTGGTATTGGGGCTTTGGCTGACAGCACTGTCACTAAGGTCCTCCGCAGCCTCTCTAGTGCGTGTCCTTACCACTGTGTGGCCCTTGAGCATCCTGGGGAGCAGCCACTTCAAGCCGCAGAAGCCCAACAGAAAGAGCAAGAAACAGGGCGCTAGGTCTGCTCAGGGGGAGGGAGCCCGCTGCAGGGAGGGAACTGAAGGGACAGGGAGGCCGCTCTGTCCTCACCTGGGAGCGCAAGGATGATGGCTGCTATGTGGCCGGCTCTGGCCATGGGCTGTGACCTCCTCGAGGGGCAGCTGACATCGGCCGTTCACCTGTGGGCCTCGCATCTGGAAGGCAGCAGGGGCCCACAGGGGTGGCCTGCTGGCCTGCTGCCCCTTGGGAGAGGAGTCTGCGTGGGCCCAGGTGGGAGGACCAGCAGCTCCGGGCTGCCCGTGCACCATGCAGGACCCCTCCTTCAATGCCACCTCCTCCGCTTACGCCACACACATCCCCGGGGACGTGGTGCGCGTGGGGCCTGGGGGTGCACGCCACGTCTTCCGCAGGCCCCTCGAGGGTGCTCTGGTCAGAAAGTCTTGCAGTCCAAGGCCTTTGCCGCTACGGCGCTCGTGACCTTGCACAAGATGTCAACCACCTCCCTGGGGGACACGTCGCATTCTTCGGTTTAGAAACCGCAGGCCCTCGTGACCCCAAGAGCACACCCTGTAATTTGGAAATCCCAGGACCTCAGCTCCGCCCAGGGAACTGGCTGCCCTCCGTCCTCCGAAGCCCCAGCTGCGGTAAACACCGCGGTCGGCTGTGTACCCAGGAAGCAGCGGGATGTCACCGTCCACCCGAGGATCCAGCCTCACCTGGAAGACGCTTGTGTCCACGAGGCCACAGGCCACAGGGGCCCTGGCCTGGAGCTGGTCCCCGGGCGGCCGGAACTGCACTTTGGGTCAACACCACGCTCCGGCATGACGGGACCCGTGGAGCCACATAAACAGATGCCTTTGATATTTTCATGGAATTTAAAATACAAACACGAGGCGAGCCCCCCCCCCCCCCCCCGCCGTGTGGTCCTCCGGGCTGTAATCACAGGAGGCTCGGCTTGTCCCCGCCAAACATGCAGAAATGAAATCCACGCCAGGCACCGCGGGCGGAGGCCTCGTTCTCTACCCCTTCGACTCTTGGCAGCATCACCGCCTGCAGGAGAGAAATTGTGACAAATTAAAAATAACAGACACAGAGCTTGGTCCCCGGCAGAGCAAGAGGCTGATCTCTCAGTTCAACTCCCTGTCCCTCCCCGCCCAGGGTCTGCTGACCTCCCGGAAAACCACTGCTATCTATCATCATCACCAAGATTGACGTCGGGTCCTCGCGTGGCGCGTGTGTCCTCCGCACAGTGACGGACGAGGGCCGCCGTGGTGCTGAGGCCACCGTCCTGGAGGAACAAGCTCCCACGGGGACTGAGGTCCATCCCACGGCTGGGGACCATGTGATCCAGGGCGGGCTCCACCTGCCCCTGGGGACCAGAAGTGGGCATGAGGCCAGCCCCGCCCCAAGAGGACGGGAGGACACCAAGCCTGGGGCCAGGGAGGCAGGCGCAGGCCAGTGAGTCCCCACTGAGGGCTGTTTTGCACCCGCTGGTTGGACATTTTGTCATTCCTGGAGACGTTTTGGGGACAGGGATGCTACCAGCGTCTAGTGGGCAGGTCGAGGACGCTGCTCACTGTCCTGCAAAGCCCAGGACGGTCCCAGCGGCTGGCAATCACGCTGCAGGACCCGGTGGGGAGCCCTGCCCTGAGCCACGGAGGGCTCTGCTGCAGAGCTGGGGCCTGGCAAGGAGGTGTCCGGGGGCCGCTCTGCAGTGACAGTGGACACTGAGCTGGGAGGTGGCTCTTCCAAGCCCATTCTAGTCAGGTCTCCAGGACCCCGGTGCGTTAGGGCCTCCTCATTTCGGGTGACTTCCTCACGCCTCCCCCAACCCTGCCCACCCAGGGGGCTGCCTGCTGGCCTCCAGCCCGTCCCACGCTCCTGTCCTCTGGGATTTTTGTCCCTGCTTTCCCATTGGCCCCCCTCCTGCAGACCCCTCCCTCGATGCCACCTCCTCCGGGGCCTGCCCCAGTCCCTCTGAGGGTGTGGACCTCGTTCCCACTTTCCAGCCGAGGACCAGAGGCCCAGAGAGGGTGAGTGACGTGCCTCAGTCACCCAGCCAGCGTTGACTCAGGCACCAATGCCGCCCTTTGGGGGCCACCCTGGGTGACCGTGGCCACGTGCTAGGCAAGTGCTACTGAGCTGTACCCCAGCCCAGGACCTGCTGCCGCCTGAGCCCCTGGCGTGTCCCTGCTGTCTCTGCCGCTCTTGGGGCAGGACGTTGGGGTTCAAATGACTGTGACTGCCCTGTTACAGGCGAGGAATCGGGGCTCCGAGAGGGCACTCCACAGGCTGAAGGTCACACAGACAGGCTCAAGGTCACACAGCAGGGACGAGGCGAGGACAGGTTCAGGACCAGGTGTGCGGCCTCCAAAGCAGGCCACGCTGTTTCAATAGTGACCAAGGACCATCCCATCGGACCCAGCAGCCCACGCGAGCTCCCTCCGAGTCCCGGGTGCTGTGCTGGGTACTCACACCTAGTGGCTTACAGAGCCGTGGCCACCCTGGGCACGGGGCCAGGACGCTGGGCCTCTGGGCGGATGAGCTCTCAAGGTCCTGGGCTGCTTCTATCCTGCCCCCGGGGCCTCCGGCCTCCCGGCTGCCCTCTGTCCCTCATCAGGGACCCTGTGCCCACAGCCAGGCCCCGCCCCAGAAGTCCCAGCAAATGGCCCCGGCTGCCCGCGCCAGGCCCAGCTGGTCTCTAATGAGCAGCTCAGGAAACAAGGGCAGCGGGCTCCGTGTCCAGGGCCCTGTGGCTGGGACAAAGACAGAATGACCACCGTCCTCTGCTCTTTTGTATGAAATAATTGGCTTCAATTAAGTGGGCAGGACGGCAGGCAGGACGGGCAGAGCGTGGGCAGAACGCTGGTTTTCCGGGAGGTCAGCAGATGCAGGTCGCGGAGGACAGCGGCGCCCGCCCACCCCAGCCCAGCCCACCCTCTCCTGGGTCCGTTTCTCCTCGTGCGACGGGGACAGCCAGAGGCACAGAGGTCAGGGCTGAGGGGCTCAGGGCAGAGCCCTGCCCAGTTCACCTTGGCCCAGGACCTGGACAGAGGCTGTGGCCATCTCAGCTGCGGCCCTTTCCAAAGCTGTCCAGGGTCCTGCAGCAGCGGCCAGCTGGCCGTCCCAGGCCATCCCACCCGGGGCAGCAGCTCTGTGCTGTGGCCTGGGCCAGGTCTGTCTCTGGGCCCCGCTGTGTCCCACTGTGGAAGGAGATGGTGACGGTGGCGGGGACAGTCATGTCTCTGTGCCGCGGGCCCCGCTGAGCTCTGAGCGGCAGGCAGAGGTGGCCTCGGGGAGGGGACTGGAGGTCGGGGCCTGGGGTCAGGGGAAGGAGCCAGCACGGAGCCTCGGGGACACTGGGCAGCCACCAGGCCCCCGAGGCTTTGCGGGGACCGCGGGGCCATCAGGGTGAGGGACTGGGGAGCAAAGCTCACAAGGGGAGAGGGCAGGGCAAGTCAGGGTCCAGGACCTGAGCGCCGAGGCCCTGCAGGGGACGGTCGTGGGTCACCTGGAGGAGGAGAGGAGGAAGCCCGGCCTGGGCAGCAGGGACAAGAGGGCTGGGGTCGGGGACCCAGAAGCATCCAGGACTGCGGAGCAGACAGGGCCTGGCTTCTGTCCCCTGCTGAGCTGCCGGCCGCAGGGCATCAGACGCCAGGTTCTATCAGCTGGCACCAGGCTGGCGTCTGTGCTGGCAGTGGTGTGGCATCCGCGACCCCCAGGAAGTGAGTGTGACAGAGAGGAGCCACGGCCCTGGGGCCACCAGAGGAGGAGCAGAGCCGCAGCAGGAGGCAGCAGGAAGCAGGACCACAGAGGCCCTGCCAGCGTGGGAGTGGTGGCTGGGGTGAAGGCCAGTGACATGAGACCTGAGAAGTGACACTGGATCTGGAGACATGGACCACGGTCACCCAGCCCGACAAGAGTGCTGTTTAGTGAAGGGATGAGGATGAAAACCTGAGAGAGGCCAGGAGAGAGGCTGGGAAGAGAGGCCAGGAGAGAGGCTGGGAAGAGAGGCCAGGAGAGAGGCTAGGAGAGAGGCTGGGAAGAGAGGCCAGGAGAGAGGCTGGGAAGAGAGGCCAGGAGAGAGACTGGGAAGAGAGGCTAGGAGAGAGGCTGGGAAGAGAGGCCAGGAGAGAGGCTAGGAAGAGAGGCTGGGAAGAGAGGCCAGGAGAGAGACTGGGAAGAGAGGCTAGGAGAGAGGCTGGGAAGAGAGGCCAGGAGAGAGGCTAGGAGAGAGGCTGGGAAGAGAGGCCAGGAGAGAGGCTAGGAAGAGAGGCCAGCTGCTTTTCACAGACGGGTCTGGCTGCTCTGCAAGGGGATTTTGCTAGGAGAGGCAGCAGAGGAAGCAGGTGCAGGGGGTGGTGTGAGGAGGTCCGTTGTAGTTTGTTTGGTTTTAAGGCTGGAGAAATCAACATGGCCAGATGCCGGATGCCATCAAGGGTGGCCTGGGAAAGAAGGGAAGTGGGTGGTACCGGAAGGGAAGCGGGAAGCGCTGCTGGAGCCTTAAGTGGGTGAAAGGGGCTGTCGTGTGAGGCTCCAGGGAGGGCTGGCCTTGAACGTGGAAGAAAGAAACAGGCCCAGAGAGGTAAGGTAGCTTGCCCAAGGTCACACAGCCAACCAGGAGCAGGACAAGGCCGTCACCTCCAGATGCTAAGCCCTCACCTTCTTGGAACAGACTGACCATGAGGCCAGCTGGGATGTGGGCATGTCCCCCGGGGCTCCCCATGCCCTGGCAGCCTGTGGCTCAGAGGGAGGCTTGCCCGCTGTGGCACCAGGCACGACTGGGTCTCCCCTCCTGGTGTGCCCCCCTTGCCACCCAGCCTGCCCTCAGCCTGTGGACACCACATGACTCGAGAGAGCCCCAGAATTCCAGAGCTGGAGAGGACTCAAGAGTCCCCAGCTCCAGGGACAGAATCCCCAGCGCACATTGGGCTGTGCTGGTCCCACGGACCTCAACTGGACACTTGAGTTGAGAGCCAGGCCCCGGGCTGGGTCCTGCTGGGACGGAGGGGACCCAGGCGCGGCCCTGCCCTGGGTTTCCTTCTGCCGGAAGGAAGGAGGGCCCAGGTCCCCAGCCCCGGGTTGGGACGAGGTCCCAGGAGGGTGACCTGCAAAGACTGCCCTGTCCAGGGCTGGGGGGAGACCTGTGCCTCTCGCTCCTGGTCTGGGCTTGGCTGGTCACCGAGGGCCCTGCAGGGGACGTCGCCTGGTCTCTGCTGCAGTGTCAGGTGTGGCTTGGGGCTGGGGCTTCCCATCAGGTCTACCGGTCTCCTGGTTTTAGTCACACTGTCCCCGGCTGGCTGCCTTCTTCCCACGGCGGAGGGTGGACCTGACATCAAGGCCAGGCGCGGTGCTGAGCACCTGTCATCCCAGCGACCCGGAGGCTGAGGCAGGAGGATGGCAAGTCCCAGGCCAGCCTCAGCAGCTTGGTGAGGCCCTGAGCAACTCGGGGGTGGTGGGGTGACCTCCCACTGGGCACGGCCTGGGCAGAGCTGCCTGGCCTGGCGCATTAGCCAGGTCGCCTTCTCACTCCCTGCAGCAAGAACAGGCGTCCTGCCTGCTGGCGCCTGGGAGGACGCTCGGCAGCCGCTGGCCCTCACAGCTCGGGTGCTGGCTGGGTCTGGGGTGGATTCCGTTTTCCAGGTGCTGGGAAGGGGACGGAGGACTGGGGACGGGCCTTGGAGGGACAGGCGCTCATGGGCATCAGACGCCTGCTGACCTTGACACCAACAGGCCCGGGGCGTGGGCAGGGCATCTCCTGCCCTGCGGACCCTGTCCCAGCCTGCGGGAGGAGCCTGGCCTGCCCAGCGCAGTCCAGGGACCGCCCGGGGCCCAGGGCACCCTTCCGTGCCTTTCCTCCTTGGGTCTCCAGCTCAGCTCCCTGAACTGCCCCTTGGTCCCTGATGTCCCTTCCCCACAGTCCTGACACCTCGCAGATCCCCGGGGGAGTGGCAGTGTCACCTGTGACTGGGGTCTCCGCCAACAGTTTCTGGTGGGCCCTCTCCTCCCCCCCTCTGCACCCATTGGCCAGTGTCCTGGGCAGGCAGAGGGGTCAGGGGGCACCGTGGCTGCCAGCTTAGCTCCCGCCTCGGAGGAGGTCCTCGGAGCCGACAGAGGGACTGGGGAGGAGGACGGTTCCACGGGGCCACCGCAGACCCCCCAACCCGCCTCTCGTTTCTCCCTAGAGACAACGGCCTGGGGGGGCCGTGGAGGCTGGGCCTCAACTTGAACTTGACTTCCTCTTCCACCCGGGCGCCTCCCTCCTGGGGCCTGGAAGGAACTGGGCTGGCCGTGAGCCCTTCCCGAGTGGCTAACCTTCCTTGAGGACATCAGTTCCAGCCTCAGTTTAAAGATGGCGGGTGACACACGCCCTGGAATATCATTCAGGCTTAAAAAGGCGGGGGATCCCGCCATGAGGACACGGTTCCTTGAGCGGAGCCCATCACAGGGGACACCCCTGCGGGATCCCACTTCTCTGGGGAACCTGGGCACTAACTGCAGGAGACAGAAGGTAGAGGGGGGAGGCCGGGGCGGGGGCCGTCCAGGGGGTCATTTCAGTTTAGCAAGATACAAAGAGCCCGGAGGCAGAGGCGGGAGGCGCAGCACGGTACCCAGCGGACACTGGGCGACGTCCTCAGAGAGTGTCCTTCACGTCACTCACTGCACACTGACAGTGGTGGAGGTGGTAAATTTTATGTCAAATGCATTTTATCACAGTGTCACCCACAGGGTCAGGTGGTGCTCGGCGGAGTCACCTGCCCAAGGCTAACGGCTGCCCACAGCAGAGTCTGAACTTGAACCTCAGCGCAGGATCCACCACTTCACGGGAAGTTGGGGAGAAGGACGCGGCAGGCCCCGAGGCACCACGGGCGGAGAGGGGCCCTGCAGGCCTGCACTGCCCCGGGCCTTGGGCTGGAGCACAGCGGCCACGTCCATCCCACCTGTGGACGGGGGATGGTGAGCAGCCTCGGGAGCAGGTGTCCCAGGGCTTGGAGGGAAGGGCTGAATGCAGAGCAGGGCCCATGGCAATTCCCCCAGTGTGCTGTGACGGCGGGAAGGACGACACCTCGTGACTGCATCTTGGGGGCTCCTGCAAGCAGGTAGCACAGGGTTTCAAGAGGAGACTGTGAGGGGGGCTGGGATCTGGGAGACGTTACTGCCTGAAGGGACAGTCTGGAGGGAAGATGTCTAAGCGCTTCTAAGAATTTGCAACTAGACTGCGTGACTGGAGTGTAGGAGTGAAAACAGTGAATCAGTTCTTTGGGTTGCAATGATAGAAAGGCAGCTTTCAGAACTGGCCGGGCGTTGGGCTTCAGGTAGAGCTGGATCCAGGTGCTCAAGGGATGTCATTTATATCCTTTCTTTCTTGTTCCATCTTTCTCCTTCCACTTCACTTGTACTTACTGGCTTCACGCTGGGGTAGAGTCTGTCCACACCTCAGGGCTCCCCCCGCCCATTTCAATCTCAGTTTGCAAAGACCATCTCTTTCCCAGGCTGACTCTGATTGGCCCAGCTCCCGCGCCAACCCAGCCCTGAGCCGGGCATGTGCTCAGGGTTGTGGTCCAGGCTGGGGCTTGGGGTCAGCTCTGCCTGGAGCGAATGCTCTGACTTTGACAGTGGAGTCAGGGAAGTCCCTTCAAGGAAGACCAAGAAGTTTCCAGAAGAAGGGACATGGACCCTGAGCCAGCAGAGGCCCAGATGTCCCCTCCAGGTGGCCAGGGCTAGGGCTGCAGGGGCAGCTCTTCCGCTGACCGCACCCCACGCCCCCACCAGCCTCCCCTCGCTCACCCCTCCTTCCCGGACCCTCTGTGCACAGCCCTCTGCCTCCCTGGAGGGTGCAGTCCGCGCCCACAGAGGTGCCCGCCACACCTCCTGGCAGCCCAGCATGCGCCGGCCCACCCCACCCCGCGGCGACTTCATCACTGGGATGATCGCGAAGGTGGCCAGAGACACTGGGCCTCGGGCTGACCTGTCCTTCCCTGCTCCACCTCCCGCCCGCGCCGCCCTTGGCCACGGGGAGCACGGGCGTCCCTGCTCAGCTGACCTGGGTCAGGGTGGCGCCCACAGTCCCAGGCAGCCTCCCGGCCGTGCCAGGGCCACCAGAGAACAGGCCTGGCCCTGGCCCTGGTAAACGCTGTCATTTGTTCAAAATTGGAAGAGCCTGCCGGCCCCGGGTGACGTTATCTGTGATCACTGGGTCCCCGGGGTTTGGTCCAAGATGCCATCGGCGGGGGGAGCCCTATGTCCTCTTCCCTTCTGGGCCCCACATCCCCGGTCCCAATGGCCGTCACTCCTGCCACCTCACTCCCCTCCGGTCCTGTCTGCAGGCAGAGGCCAATGCCCTCAGGCAGAGGTGGCATGTGAGGACAGGGGGCTGTAGAGGCAGCGATGCTCTTTGGAAGTCAGGGAAGCAAGTCTTCGAGCAGCGGCCGGCAAGCCAGGAGGAAAGGCTCCCTGTAGGAACCAGGGGATGGGCTTCCAGGCAAGGGAACAGCACGTGCAATGGTCCTGAGGTGGGAGAGTGGTTGGTACATTGGGAGCACTGAGCAGAGGGGACCACAGCAAGGCTAGTGACCAGGGAAAGTGATCAAAATAAGTCTTGACGTGTGGCCACAGTAGGATCATTGGGGCCCTGCTGGGCACGAGGCTGAATGAGGCATGATGGGAAATCAGTGGTGGTGTCACGCTGCAGTTGGACACGATCTGATCAGCAGGATCCAAGTCAGCAGGATCACTGAAGGCTGGGCAGAGTGAAGGGTCAAGAGAAGCCGAGGCAGGCAGGGGCAGCTGCCCTGATGGCCATAGCCAGGTTGCTGGGGGTGTGGGGGTGGAGGTGGGGGTGGAGGTGGAGGAGGAGGCCGGGGGCGGAGGGGGGGTGGCCGTCAGATTCTGGAAGCCCTTGGGCCTAGAGCTGGGGGTCTTGCTGACGGATCAGCTTCGAGGCATCAACAAGACAGAGTCAGGGACAACCTCAGGCTCTGGCAGGGCCTCCAGGTCGGTGGGGGCCATTCAGACGAAGAGGATGCTGGGGAGAGGCCGTGGGTGGGTGGAGGTGAGGAGGCCAGAGCTCTGTCCTGCCCCAGTAGAGTCCGAGGCGCACATTAGACACCCAGGCGGTGACGTGGCATGTAGCTGTCCCTCCCAGTCTGCCCACCAGGGTCGGAGGAATAAACCTGGGGATTATTAGTCCACACAAGATATTTAACACCCAGGAGGGTGTCACATAGACCTCTGGGCATTCTGCCAGTTGTTACCGTCTTCCCGTCCTGCCTCCTGTCAGGCACAGCTGATCAACTTTATGGTATTCAATCCTGGAAACAATTCTGGGTTGTAATTATTGTTCCCATTTTTCAGCAGGGGAAACAGAGGCTCAGAGAGGTTGAGTGTCTTTCTCGAGGCCACACAGGACTTGATCCAAGCCTTTATGATCGCCTAGCCCTCTTTCCCTGGGTGGCCCTAGGACTGAGGCAGGCTGACCAGTTAGCTTGGCGGGACCTGGAGGACCTGGGACACCAGGCTGAAATCCAGACAGAGGCAATAAAGCCAAGGGCCCAGCCGGGTGGAGAGCCACACAACCAGACCCCCTTGGCTGTGCTTCCCTGGAGGCCCGGTCCTCCTGCCTTCTCAGCCCTCCCACGTCCTGCATCTCCAGGGTCTCCCAGACGGAGCCCAGGCCCGTGGACAGCCCTGGGCCACGACCCGAGGAACTGCTTCTCCTCCAGGTGCGGGGGGGGGGGGCGGACTTCCTCCAGAGACTCCCTTCCCTGGGGCGGGCCCGGCTCCCTTGGTTCCTCTCTCTGGGTGTCCAGGACTGGGGACGACCTCCTTGTCCCCCCGCCCTGCCGTCCTGGGCTCACAGCCTCCTGGGACCTGGAGCAGAAGAGGCCGTGGAGCCCCCTGGGGCAATGCGCTGCCCCTTACAGATGGGAAGACTGAGGTCAAGGGAGGAGGCTGGGGGGGGGGGGGGCTGTCCGGGGGCCACCTCACCAGCGCATGCGCACGGACTCCTCAGCGGCTCCAGGCGCCAGCCGCAGCCTCTGGAAGCATTAGAGAGGCCCGGGCCTGGGGATCCAGGGCGGCGCGCCTTCCAGAAGATTCTGGTGCACACGACAGCTGGGGCAACGACTCTGGCCGCCTCTGCCTGCACACCCTGCAGGCCACCCTCACTCCCACGCCTGCCGAGTCCAAGATTCAGATGCGATCTGGGCACTTCGCTGCTCAAACACCTTCCATGGCTCCCGCGGTCGGCCCCGGGCACCACCCCGACCCTCCCGGTCTTCTTGTTCAGCCACAGCTGCGGTGGCCCGCTCAGCACACTGCAGCTTATTCTGTGCGTTTCCTGCAGGTGTGGACGGTATTCGCGCAGGACCGCCCTACCTGGCGCGGATGGCTGGGCCTCGGCCGGATCCCTGCTGACCCGGGACGTCTCCCGCACAGACCCACGCACTGCCCCGAAGGGCGTCCCGGACGTGCGGAGCGGGGGACCGCCCGCGGAAGAATCTCACCACAGGAGGCCACGCCCCCTCTGTCCTCCTAGGCTGAGTGCCCGGCAGTCCCACCGGCTGGAGGGACTCTGCTTGGGACCCATCCCTGGCTCTGCCCCTCCGCCCCACGCACTCCTGTCCCTTGGTCAGCTCTCCAATTAAGGAGCCGCACTCCAGCCTTTCTCTGGGGCCCTGCGGACACGCCGCACCTCCCATCCCCTGGCGCCCAGCAGTGGGCTCCCCGCTCCAGGTGAGGGAGGATCTGGGTGGAGGCTGCACATCCTACGGTGCCCTGAGGCCTCGGCAGGGAGGCCACTATGAAATGAAACCAGGCCCGACTGCGGGGCACCCAGCACCACATTACCGACAAGCAGACGCCGGTCCCTGGGGCCGCCTTTGCTCAGCCTGTCCCTCTTCCTGCACCGGACGGGCTCATCCCAGCGCTCCGCCCAGCTCTGTGTCCTGGAACCTCCTAGCAGGGGACAGTAATGGCCGTTACCACTCTGAACATTTGATGTGGCCGGCTCTGCCGTGGGTGACCGCGTGGATCCAGGAACCGAGTCCCTGGGTTTGGGTCTGTCACTTGTGGAAGACTGGGCAAGTCCTCTCGACCAATCTGGGCCCCAGAGACCTCATTGACAAAGTGGGGACAAGAAAACCTCACTCATAGAATGGCCAGGGAGTCAAGGTTATGGCCAGAGAGGTTGAGACTCGCTGAGGTGGGAGTGGATCTGGGTCCAGTCCAGATCCCTGGAGACCAGGGGACTTGTCTTACAGCCCGGCTGCGGTGACCCCGGGCCGCAGGCTGGCGGCTCAAACAGCAGCAGTTTATTTCTCACTGTTCTGCAGGCTGCAAGTTCAAGACGAAGGTGCTGACTAATTTGGCAGCGGGTAAGCCTCTCCTCCTGGCTTGTAGACAGCCATGTCCTCATTGTGTTCTCACGTGGCCAAGAGAGGGGGAGAGAGAGAGAGAGAGAGAGAGAGAGAGAAATGAACAGTTCTGGTCTCTCTTCCTCTTCTCATAAGATCACTACTCATCCAGACATGGGGACCCAGCGTCACCCCACCTCAGCGTCATGCCCCCCGGGTCAGGGCTACAGCGCACAAGTCTGGGGACCAGGCCTGTAGTTCACAACAGGACTGTTTCCTGGAGCTCGTGGCTCAGCGGTAGCCCTGATCTTTCTTCCAGATCGAGGTGGATTTGGAGCCTGCCTGGGGCAGGGCTTTGGTCACCCTCCAGGGCCATCAGTGAGCCCTCCTGGGGACCTGGGTGCACACCAGTGCCTGTCCCTGCGGACTTGCTCCCCTTTCTCCTCATGGACTCGCTCTTTGCCAGCAGGACAGACCCGTTGTCAGCATGGGCTTTGACCCCGTGGGGACATCAGGCTGCTGGGATCCACGTGTTTCCAAAGCGGCACCCCGAGGTCAACTCGTGCCCCTGAGATCTGTGGGGTTAAACAGCAACCAGGTGTGAATGCGGGGAAAACATGAGGCCAGGGACGTCCAGGGCCTTTACACCCTGGGATCCTGGGCCCTTCAATGTGCTACAATGTGGGGGGGCGGGACTCTCAGGGGGCGGGACTCTGGGGGCGGGGCTCTGGGGCTCTGTGGGCGGGGCTTGCCCCATTTCCCGCGGAGCTGGTCCCTGGGCCAGTGGCTCGCCTTTGCAGCACTGGCTTTGGGCACAGCTGCTCGAGTGCTTGGCACATTCCGCCCTCCTCCAGATGGACAGATTGCCTCTGCCAGATGGGGGCTTCCCTGAGGCTGGCTGCTCCCGCCTGGGAAGTCTCTGTTCCCTCCCTTGCCTGCTCCTGGGAGAAGGCGTGAGTCACCGTCTTGAGCTGTGGGTGCCAGCTCTGGGTGCGGGGGGGCGGGTGCTTGGCAGGGGACCCTGGGGGCTCCCTGGGTAGCAGCCCTCTGGCTGGAGGGTGCCCACCACCTCTGGGGAAGACCCAGGTGGAGCGACGCTGCCAGGGTGTGTTGGTTGTGTTGTGTCGCTGTCATTACAATCGGAAGTTCCCCGGGAGAAGCTGGGATTCTGGGTGGCTTCTCCCCTCCCACCCTGCCCAGGGCCGGAGGCTGGTAGCAACAGGTGACTGAAGTGGGGGTCTCCTGAGTGTCTCTTGCCCAGAGTAGCCTCCTCATTAAGGCGCTGTCCCTGGCCACATCTGATGACCCTCCACCTGCCTGCGCCCTGCTGGGCCACGTGCTGTCAGCCTCCTGCCTGGGCCAGGACAGGGTCCAGTGGGCAGCCCGCCTGCTGGGCACAGCCTGTGCTTTAATCAGCTTTGTCACTGCTGTGACCAAAAGACCTGGCGGTAACAATTAAGGACTATTGGGGAGCTCACAGTGTCAGAGGCCTTCGTCCATAGGAGGCCAGCTCTGTTCCTCGTGGCCCGAGGTGACGCAGAACATCGCGGCAGAAGAGTGGGGTGGACGGAAGCAGCTCAGGACACCACGCGGGGAAGCAGAGAGGGAGAGAGAGCGCTCATGAGTGAGCTCAGTTGAGCACGGACAAGACAGGTCCCCGAGGACCCTCGATGACCCACCTCCCCCAGCCACACCCCGCCCGCCTTCAGTCCCCCCAGTCAGTCCCGGGTGGGGGTTAACTCCCTGGCCTGGTCCATTTCTCCTCGGGGCTTTCTTGCATCCTCTCACACCTGAGCTTTGAGGGACATGTCACATCTAAGCCACAATGCCACAGGCACCTTCCAGGGAGAATCAGGCACTGCAGGGGCGGTGGGTGGGTCCCCAGAGCCCGGCTGCCGCTGGTGGCTGACCCAGTGAGGGCGGGACAAGGACGCTGCTCGAGCTGGGGGCTCTGCGTCGGCTGCTTCTGTGACAGCTGAGAGCAGTGCCCAGGGACACATGGCAGCCCGGGGACTGTTCCCTGCTCACCGGCCGGTGACTTCGAGGTCTCTGATCCAAAGCTTCCCCATCTAATGAATGGGAGGCCACCGGGGGAAGGAGACGAGGAAAAGCAGCAGGTGGCTGGCCACCGCCCACCCCATCCCCTGAGTCCCAGGCCCCAGGGGGACCTTTTCGTATGGAGTATCTCAGCTTCACGTCGGGATCAGCTCCTCTTCACAGAAAGGGAGACTGAGAACCATGGAGAGTCCAAGGTGGTCCAAGCGTGGGCAGGGGCCTCGGGCACAGCCCCTGCTGCCCCCACACTCATTCACACACGTGCACACACACACTCATCAGGCGCCACTCGACTCCAGCAAGACTGTACCCAGGCCACGCGGCCCTGGATGTCACCGGCACACATGGTCGCGAGAATGCCACATGTCACCAGCCCACGGCATAGCTAGAGGTGGCCCTTATGCGTATGGGACAGGCCAGCTGATTCGGCGAGGTGCTGGGAGCAGGACATCAATGGGGGGGGGACTGGGCTGCCCTCCTGGGAGAGTTCAGACTGCTCTCTTCTGCCCTCCCCACCCTTCAAGTTTCTGCTCAAGACCTGGCTGCCCTACAGAGGTCCGGGATGAAAGGTGACATGAAGAGAGAAGGGCTCAGCGTCACACCTACCCAGGCTAGACCAGCAGAGGAACTTCCAGTCAACTACAGAATTGGGAAAATAGGAAATCATCCTGTGAAGCAACCGTGATTTGGCGTGGTTGGTTATGCTGCAAAATCTAACGAGAACAAAGGTCCTCAACATTAGTGACCCCCGGTGCCTGAGCCACCGCTTGTGCCCTGGAGAGAGGAGAGCCTGGGCAGTTTGTGACTGCCAAGAGAAGGATCTGGAGCCTGCAGCTCGGGGCTCTGGTCTGGTGTGACGGGGACACTGACCTGGGGTTTCTCAATTGGAACCAGGACAGTCTCTAAATGGAGCAATTTCTCAGCTCTTTGCTCCCACCCAGGCCATTGAGGCTGCTGAGGCCAGATCCCGGAAATCATCAGTCACGGGGCCAAACTGCCGCAGCTGAATGTTCTGCCATCCTGGGTTTCTGTGATTGAAATTAATTCAGTTCCTGAAAAAGACAGGGAGGGGACTGGGCATGTTGGGCAGGGAGACAGCTGTCCACAAAGGCTCCGAGACGTGCCAGCAAGAAGCTCGTGTCAGATACAAGTAAATAAGTTCCAGATTAACAAGGATCTTATGCCAACACGGGCTGAGATCTCCCGGAGGACTTGTTCAGCCCAGATAGCTCAGAGGTTCTGGTCCACACATCTGGGTGGGGCCCAACAGCGTGCTTTTCCGACAGGTCCTTCATGCTATTAATGCTGCTCTTCAAGTAGGTGCCACGCTTTGAGAACCACTGGCCTGAAATTTAGGTTCCAAATAAATAGGAAGTTATTTTTCTCATCTTAGAGTATGTGATGAAGGAGGTAGTTTAGGCCTCAAAAATGCTATCTGGAGTCCAGAATCATCATCTGTCTTCTTGGACATTCTTAGCTTTTTGGTTTTTATGGTGACGCTTGAGGTCTCATGGTCACAAAATAGCTGCTGTAGCTCCAAACCTCAAGTCTATTCTGAGGGCGAAGGCCGTAGTTAAGAAGCCTCCTGAGGTCTAGCTTCCAAGACCCACATAAGCTCACTTCTGCCAGATTTCTCTTGGCAAAAGCAAGTCTCAGGCCAGTTTAGATTTGAGGAGATGAAAAAACAGACCCCATCCCTGAATGGGAGACTCAACAGTCACCCTGCAAAGGGGTGGAGATATTGGGATGGGAGGAATCGGCAGCCATTAAAAATCCTCCCACAGCTACCTTTTGGTCCCCAATCATTCACCTTCCTTCCACAGCAAATTCTGTGAAGTCTGTCCTCAAGCCACTGTAATATTCCTCCAACTACAGCCCAGGTTCAACGTCCAGTGTCACGTCTAGGTCAGGACTGGGCATTGATGAGGCTTCCCTTCATCCAAGGACTTGAGAGCTAAGGGACAAGCTGTCTTAACCCTCAGGCTGAGTGCACCACGATGAGGTGACACGGGAAAGGAAGGTCAGCAGTGACAATCGCTGGTCCCTAGCAATTCTAAAATCTGGCCAGGCCCCTCTGGTGGGGTCCCCGACTCTGGGGATAGGATATGTTCCCTGCCTGGCTCTGCTTCTGGAGGCCCCCAGTCCATGGCTCTTCCGTTCTCGCCTCCACCCACTGAGCCCCTGCCCTCTGAGATCCTTCTTTTCCGTAAGAAATATTGGTCTGATTCCTGCTTATGAATGCATGGGCCCGGGGGACTCTCCATTCTGAACTGCCCGTCCTTTTGAATGCAAGCTAGTGATTCTCTTACCAATACAATTCCCTCAAACGTGATGGATTTCCCATGAATCACACGTGTAGCCACTCAGCGCCCTGAAATCCACACAATTCCTTGTTGAAGACAGTTCTCTCTCCATGTTAGTGGGATCCATAAATTCACTTGGTACTTGTTCTATTCTACCAGCTTCTTGGGGTGACAGCCTTGCTAAGTGTCCTGCCACCCCCCAGCCCATGTCACTCATTCTCCAGCCTCCAGGGGCAGTTTCCCCACAATCCACCCAGTCCTCACTATCTGTTCCACAGGGCACAGCGTGGCTCCCAGAGCCAAGGCATAAGATTCGCTTCTGGTTAAAAAGCAGCCAAGTCCAGGCACCCATTTCTTGAGCTGTTGTCAACTACAGTTGTACTGCCTTGCCACTTCGTATAAAGTGATCTAGGATTTCTCAAGTGGCTCCTCTGCTGTCCTTTGTGTTCACCGATACAGTGGCTTTCTGTGGATGGGTTGGTGGCTGGTGCTGGCTGTGGGCTGGGGTCCCGGCTGACCTCCACGTGGCCTCTCGTCCTTCCAAGGCTAGCCCGGGCTAGCTTAGGTACCAGAGGGCAGAGACGGAGCTGACAGGAGTGGGGAACGCACCCCTCCCTTCTGCCAGGTTCTATGGTCATAAGACCCCGCCTCCGGCTGGGCGGCTCAGCACTGCCACATGGCCGTGCCGAAGCTGGGGTGGTGCCGACAGTCACCCCTAGGACCCTGGGCTGTTCCTGACTTTGCTTTGCTCCCCGGATGGCCCTCTGCTTCCTCTGAGAGCTCATGATCCGCAGGCCGTTCTGTTTTCCTGTTTGTTGTAAATTGTTTAGTTGCAAAGAATGTTAACCTGCCCAGGAGAGCTCAGGTCAATTTGAGGAGGGTCCAGAGATCGTGCAACGGAACACATCAGACTGGACCTCCCAGGACCTGAGCTGGGAAGGACAGGAGACCCTCCCCGGCCTCCGAGTGCTTCCCCCTGCCTCCACTGCAGTGGGGCCTCTTCCACGTGTCTCCTTTGTCTCTGGGAATCGACTTACTCTGAATGCTGTGGTTTCTTCCTCTCCCTATAATTTTGGTCTCAGACATGCAAGAGAGAGTCTGCTGTCAGCAGAGAGGGGTGGAAAGGAAAAGCTGACCACATTGATTGCCACGGGGACCCAGTTCTGCAGATCCTACAGAGCCAGGACCGCCCCCATCAATGAGAGACCTTGGGCCTCTAAATTCTGACTTTTGTGAAAGAGAAGGGGTCTCTGGCCTGCAGTGGGCTGGCCGCCCACCCCTGGTGCCCCAGCTGCAGATGACAGGGCGGGCACCCCGTGTACAACCGAACCGTGCCTGCCTCCCCTGGGCTGTGGGGGTGAGGTCCAGGGGCAGCTGGACTTCGGTCACGACGCACCGTGGGGTGCTGCGGCCTAAGACACTCCCAGGCTGCCTCACCACGGCTCTTTGCCCCCAGAAGGAAGGCTGCGGCTCTTCATGGTGGGAGGGCCTCCGCCAGCTCGGGCGGGGCCTGTGCCCTGCTCCGTCTCTCGTGCGTGCATGTGGCGGCCCTGGGCTCATCTTCCCCAGCTGCCCTTCTTCGCCCACAGGGGGGAGGACCAGGCCTTAGAGATGCTGGAAACTCGCGGCTGGCGGGCAGCGATGGCGATGAGAACATGTGGCGTCGTCTGCTCCAACTCCTCTAACGGCCGTCCCTGGACTGGGGGTTGAGAGGAGAGGGGCAGGACCCCGCAGGCTGGGGCTCGGTCATGGCCTTGAGCCTCCTCGATGCGGGTAGATGGACAGCGGCCTCTGAGGACCCACCAGCTCCCAACACTGCCGCTGTCCAACCAGCCGTGGCCTGGCAGGAGGAGGGGGGCCGGGCCTTCGGCCTGGCTGTCTCCAACACAGGGTCCCCACAGCCTCTAAATGGCCCCCCGGGGCCAGCTGGGCCCCTGTGGGCTCCACAGCCCGGCGTCCCTGGGCAGGGGATAGAATCCTCCCTGAATCCCGGGGACAGGCGGCTCAGGGGGTCTGTGATCCTGTCTCTACCGTCTGTATCATGTGAGCAGCCTGATGGGAGCACCCTGTGTGCCCACGGGGTCGGGGGGCCACGCGGGGGAATTCACATCTGTGAGCGTGTTCCCAGGGAGCAGCCTGGCTGAGATCTGGAAGCTTCCGTGCAGTAGGAGGCAGATGGAGAGGAGGCTGAGCCTCTTGCCTGTGGCTTTGTGTTTGAGTGACCCAGGTAGCAGCTGGTGTCCATCTTGCCTCTAAGGACTGGAAGAGATCACCTTTATGCCCTTTGCCCTAAACCCTACTGAAGTTCAAAGCCTCCTGCAATTTTTTTAAATTTAAATTTAAATTTGGTACTAAAGATTGAACCCAGAGGCACTTTACCACCGAGCCACATCCCCAGCCCTTTTCATTTTTAATTCTGAGTCAGGGCCTCACTGAGTTGCTTAGGGCCTGACTAAGTTGCTGAGGTTGGCCTTGAACTTGCGATCCTCCTGCCTCAGCCTCCGCTGGATTATAGGCATTGGACTCAGTGTCTGGCCAAAGCCGCCTGCATATTTGCTCATCCCCAGCAGGACGAGCGAAAAGGGCTGTCACTCTCCTCCGTGAACACCTCCCTGGGCGCTCCCTGCGCTGGGCACCTCTCTCTCAGCCTGAGGGAAATCTGCTCGATTTTCACAGCAGGGACAGGGAGTGTTCCCAAGAAGCTCCCGGGTTCAGCAGCTTCCACTGTCATCATGGAGAACCCGAGGTGGCCCGGTCTCAGCAAGCACGGCCACAGCTTCTCTGCTTCCCTCTCAGCAGGGGCTGAGGGCTAAGGTGGTCCTGAGCTGGGCCCTGAAGCCAGCGCCGCCTTCAGATCCCGGCTTTGCAGCTGCTGGTACCCAAGCAGGCACCTCGAGGGACGTGGGAAGCCACCGTCCCTGGAAATGGCTGCTAACATTCCCTGGAAGTCACTGTTTTGTTCCAGAGGCTCTTACAGGGAGCACCAAGACCACGAGTCAGTCTGCCTGCTCTCTCTGGATGACCTGGAGCAAGCCGCTCATTACCGCCCTGAATTCTCCACCAGAGGGGTCCGGCTGCCCTCTCTGAACCTGCTGTGTCTGCAGGACCTGGAGGTGAGCACGGGAGACACGCAGACGTCTTTCCTGTGTGAGTACACGCACAAGGTGGGGTGGGGTCCCCCAGCAAGAGCCCCTTGCCTGCTCTGTGGGGGGCGCTCTCTGGGAAGGACCTAGTCCTCTCAGACCTCTCCTGGCTCCTGTATCTCCGGGTTGTGCCCCTAAGCTCTGCGCCCACCAGGGCTGCAAACCAGTGCAGACCCCTGAGCTTGGGGACACGGAGCACACCTCTTGCCTTTTAGTTCCTCGAGAAAATGGGGATACCCATGGGGCCCGGCCTGGTTGTCCTGAAGCTGAGACAAATCAGAAGACGCAGTGACGGCAGGGGCAGCCCACCATCCCCAGCGCCATGGGGACAGGCCCTCACCTGTCCTTTAGCGAGATGTGGCTGTGGGTCCCGCCCCGTGGCCACCCTCGACTTCTACCAGTTTCCTGATTCGGATTCTCCAGACCCAGGAACTCTGGGAGAGAGACCGCACCTGGCGGAGGCTCCCCGCCGCCATCCCCCTCCTGGGCTGGGACAGGATGTTCAGCGGCCTGCAGCTGGCCTCCCACCCCCTGGTTCCTGGCGGCTGTTGACGCACCTGTGACAGTGGGTGGGCGCCGAAGTAGGACATGCTCCTTCCGGGGGCCTCCCCCTCCCGCCCTCCCCTCGGTGCTGGAGGCAGGACTGCGGATCCACAAACCAAGGCCGGGAAACCAGCCCCGGGGCCAAGACCGCTGCCCAGGCCCTGCAGCTCGGTGGCCGGGGCCTTCGGAAGGGGACCTCGGGCAACGTTGACGGAGCCCACTAGACCCCTCCGCCCTTCCGCCCTTCACTGCATGGGAACGCAACCACTGGCACCCTGCAGCCCTGGCCAGACACGGGAACTGCTAATGCCTTGACCTTGAACTTCCTGCAAAACATTACCTTTCTCTCGTATATAGACGACCCAAGTGACTCTGCTACAGAGGGCAGATGGGCGAGAAAATCGCCCTTAGGTCTGGACTGGGCACTAAGAAAGACGGCCATTTCCACCTGACTTGAGCCCTCCTGCTCCTGGGCCATCTTTTTGGTACGTGGTGCCTCCCGCAAGGGTTCCTCCGCTGCTCTGCCGCCAGCAACCAAGTGCCCCGATGGCCTCAGTGTGTTCCGTACGGAGCTCCCGCAGTCCCCGGGCACCGAGACCTGCACGTATGAGCTGTTGCTCCTCAGGGACGGGAAAGCCCCCCTCGCAGGGCCACCTCCCCCAGCTCCGGGGCTCTGGCAGCGGCTCGCAGCCTCCTGCCTTCCTCCCAGCACTTGTCAAAATATTTCTTTCCAAACAGAATCAAGTTCCTGGGATGAGTCCACGGGCGGCTGGGGGCCAGCGTCCTGTCCCTTTGATC